GTACAACTACGGTTTATTTTATTTTATGAAGGGTCGCCTCATTCGAAGTTTGATTTATTACAGTAAATTGTATCAAGTGCATAGTTATATTGTTTCCAATGTAAAAACCTCTTCTTTATTGGTACGTTTATACTATGAATACTGAGAATGGAGTAAGAACCGTCATGTGCTCTATTTATAGAGGGAGAATATCCTCTGTAGATAAACACATTGCTGTACGAACCAGAATTGGGATATCTCCTTCAAAGCCGAGTAGGTTACAACAATGTGTTGTATATGTTTTATATTTGTAGTGGAGGAATCTCTCTTCAATGTTTGGTTGTGACAGAAGTACTAGACAATCCTTATAAACCAATAAACTGTGATAGTTAATCCTAATAAACAAGTAATGCTGCAAGTCAAGACAAATCAGTGTTTCACACATTATCTACCTCCTGCAGGGACCGATGAATATAGATGCATGATAACATACTGACAGATTACAAGAAAAACACTTCTGTATCCAAACTTATCCTCTTAAATCGTCAGAGATGAATCTCAAAGAGTAGGTCTTTTTAAAATATGCCATATGTATAATTCTTTTAAATACGCGAGGCTGGATTTATATTAGATATGTCGCCTTTTCGAATTAAGCAGTAAAGAGTGGATAAATGTTGAGTTATCTTGTTGTTTTGAATCTTCGTCGTCTTCCTTATGAGTCCCACATGATTCAAATGTTTCTTTCTAACTCCGGTTTTTTTCCAAATCAGGTTCTTATCAAGATTTTAGAGTCTGTTGTGATAATTGAAATAAAAGTGTTAGAATTGATTTAGTAGTATGACAGTTAAAATCAGTTTTATACGTGTATGTGGTATATTTCAGTAATTTAAAGTTTTCCTCTATAAACTTTACTATATAAACAAACCCTTTCCTAACGTAGACATTTCATTGGAAAAATAGGTTTTACTCTATTTCTTTGTTTAAACATTTCAAAGGGTGCTTAAAATGTTTTGCCTGGTAGAAAGGCTATAAAACGGCACAAGAAAACCATCTTGAAGTATAATAGAACCGTGATTCGAACTGAAACCCGACAAGGGAAAGCTTTACATGAAAGGAGAAAAGGACTTGTTGGTCGACCCTTATTAAAGAAAATGAGAATTTAACAAAGATGGCGACTTTAAGACTTTTTTAACCTACATCTTTTTTTCAATCTGGGTTGTAAGTTTGTTTGTCAGCAAGTCTATCATTATAGCCACAATATTCGGAGCAAGACCCCCATACCGAAATGACACATGAAAACACCGTAGGTTTGAGAAACAGGGAGGTAACTATCAAGAAAAGAAAAGTTGGCGATTGGAAATTCGAGATCGTCATGTGTATTGTATAACTTAAAACTGAACTGTCCCTGTTGATCATATTATGCAAGTTAAGATTGACGAAAGCGGCAGATACAGTAAAGTCCCCTAATTTTTAAGTTCAGCGGAGTGTACACTGTCGACTTCGTCATTACATTCTCATGTTATTTTAAGACAGCATATCGTCCATATCCAAATGAGAAATAAAATAATTTGGCAAGGTTTTTGCTGAAATAGCTGGTAAGCTTTTAATGAAATCGACTTTATATAAAGAAAACAACGGAATAAACGACAAGAAAATGGACAAATTTGATTCTCATCGAAATGCCTATCGTCTGCTTTTAAATCTGTTGAAATGAAAAATAGTAAGAATGACCAATCAAACAGCTGCATTTACTATGGAAAACAGGAGACCGACCAGATAGCTGAATCTTCTCTTAATCATTATGAAAATATCCTGCTGATTCGAACATTGTTATAGCAAATCTGCAAACGGTATATGTTTGTAAGTTTTCACTTGAGAAGATGGGAATATGTTTCTATTAGTCTTAAAAAGAGATCTTACAATAAAAGTGATATGTATCTTGGTTGTAATGTGTCATTTTACCTTAGTTACAGTGAAGTGTTCATGAAGTGTTGAAGGACTGACGTTATCAGTGGCTCTTGTAAAATACTCATAAACACTCTCTTTATCTGGGATGAACAAACCTAGTAAATCTTCAATGTTTGTTTCCAACAGTATTTCGAATATATTAGAAGCCGTATATACCATGATAAACACCCCGATTATCATCCTTCCTTGACAAGACTTTATTTCGCCTCAATTAATCGGAAAATCAGAAGGTCTACTTTGTGAGTGATAGCTAATCAGTATCATACAGGAAGTAGTCCCAAGTCTCTCCAATAGGGAACACGTGAATGATATTTTATTTCGTCAAAACATTTGAAAACGGTATTATATTTTTGTTTTATTGAATAACGTCTATTACCTATAACATTGCGGAGTTTGAAGAAGCAAAAACTAATAGATAAGATATTTCTAATAACCAGTACACAAGTATCTCTTGACAGCAAAATTATGATAAACATAAGTTATCTTAATGAAAGTATCAGGGTCGCTGTTATACTTGACCTCCGTTAATGGTACATACATGCACGGGTCGAATTATCAAGACATTAGTCTCTTCACCTGGCACCTAAACAGGATACATTGATACTTCAGCATCGTCCGAGTGACCTTAAACTGGTGTAATTATAGGTAGCCTCTAAACTAGATTAAGCATCGTCCGAGGGACCTTAAAGTGGTGTAATTATATGTAGCCTCTAAACTAGATTAAGCATCGTCCGAGGGACCTTAAACTGGTGTTATTATATGTAGCCTCTAAACTAGATTAAGCATCGTCCGAAATGTTACGTATAAAAAGACGTCATCGTTATCATACAACTGCTGTCTTGGTCACGCCGTGGAAAGGACAGACCAGCAGGTCCCTTAATGTTATATACAGTCGGGGTTGGGAGTGGAACCCTTATTAAGAACAAATTGAATAGAACCTTGGTCATTTAGTGTTTCTGAGAAGACATTAAAGATATTTCAAGACTACGGTACAGTTTGGGTTTTTCTAATAGAATATGAGCATGCATGTACCTGTTGTTTCACAAGCAATTTTTGCAGGTGTTAATTGAAAAACAAAATATACACATATTTCAATATATCCCATACATATTTCTTATTTATATTTATCATTTTTTTGTCAAGCTAGTGAATGCAAAGGTGAAGTAATACTTTACTCTATCAAACACGACGGATGTTTAATTATTGAAATGCTATGGGTGTTTCCTGAAGACCTTTAAGATTATTTGATAGTTATATCACTGTTTTTAAGAGCAGCAATTAGAATATTTTAATGTTTAAATTTAAATTATGAATATAATATATAATTAGATATCCACAGTCATAGGAAACATGAGAGCGCTATACACGAAAGCCCATTTAAATTGTTTGAATAAACTTAAATTAAAATCATAGATAAATTATACATAAATCAATATCCAAAGTATGAGGTACATATAAGGGGAAGTGTAGAGGGCACGGCATTTAATATATTTTAGTATAATTACATTATAGTTATATATATGATATATCATTTTTAATATCCACAGTCATAGAAACACAGGGGGGAGGGGGGCTAAAGACGGAAAACCACTTTTTTTTAATTTAATATATAATTTAATATCCTAAATCTGAGGTTAGCCTAGGAGATATACAGACAAAATGACATTTTATGATTCATATGGTACGGCTCTATATCCTACCCACATCCGGCCTCATCGTGCACGTATATGGATCAGAAATCAGCCAATGATATAAACTATACTTGACAATAAACCTGGCTGTATTTTCTTATGTACAGATCTGTAAAGGTGTCCATCTGGCGGTAAAACTGTTCCCAGGAAGGAATAGTAGGCAACAGGTGGTACCACACTGCCTCTGGTTAACGTACTATCCCTACACCACGACGGCAAAAACGATTTATCAAACGACTTGTCAATCAATATTGGTGTGTTATTATATTTCAGGTATGTTAAAATCAATACCAAATGTGTCACACCATGTTTACCCGGAAAACTTAAAAATGAAACATTATGAGACTAAGTCTGCGTGGGTTACTTCTATAGAAAGTGTTGCTTTGTCTTGCAGTATTAGTGTAGTTCATCAGGCACAGTGTAAAAACAAAGAATGATAGATTTATGGATTATTCAATACCCGATCCATTTTAAATTATAGCATTTAATTTGGATTCTGATTTTACTTTCTTGACATGCAGAATAGTGGTGGCGCTGTATCAGTATTTAGTATGTTAATTCTTACTGTCTAATGTAACAAGCTGCGGTATTAGAGATTAGTTATGTAGTAAATGTACTGTATGCTCTGTTTGTGGTATTGTTAAAGAAATCGAAAACTTTTTAAGATTGTCTGACTGAAATTTTATCTTTTATAACACTGATATTTATAGGTTATTTCACTGGAGGGCGATATCACGAATAGACTCAAGCAAAAGTATGAAATACGTTTTTTTCTGCAATCAATGTCGAAGATAGATTAGTTTGCATAAAAATGTGTTATCTGTGACGTCAGATAATGATATTAAGATACTGCGTGTAGAAAACATATATATCGTCAATGTTATTTGCAGATTTGAAAAGCAAATTCGTTATAATGGTATAAAAAAAATAGGCATAACATTATGCACGGTAGCGAATCTTGTAGTACGTTTGTCAGCAACTGAGATTCATATCACCATATATACAACGAATATGCATTTTGATCCTTGCATGTACGCTACAAAACAGCAGCACAAATATTTTGTCTTTCTGGATGGTTTATTTTAATTTTTGATATGTTTTTAGTAGCCTTCGTCCTCCTTTTTCAGTTTATCAACCATGAGCTTTGGCTCGAGGTTATACTTCCGAAGCATTATTTTAAAGTTATCTTCTCTTCCATATTATCTCTTAAAGATTATATATCAAAATTGTCAATTATGTTAATAACATGAAAACTTGTCTTTAAGCTAATTAAAGTATTTTTTTAAACTTTTCATGTTTTACAGCATATGAACAAAAGTGATAAAGATATTGTAGTGACCGAGCTGTTTATGTCACGTCGTAATGGAGAGTAAACAACGTCATGATTCACTAGCGTCCAGCGTCAGTACCAGCGAAACTGATCTCCTCAGCGACATGATCCCATATCGATGTCCAAAGTGTGGAAATCAGCGCAAATTCGCTGCTCTGAGAAACTTGAAACACCATCTTGATGAAGAGCATTCGTTTAAAATGGGCTGTGTGAAACCTCGCTCCAGGAATAAGGTGTTTAATCACAGGATGGTTACCGAGAAACCGAAGGTAACCACAGGGAAATATATTAAAACTAAATATGGTGGAACATTTTCTCCAAGATCATCAGACTCTGATGAAAATTATGGATCAATGTTGAAGTATTATGAAGATGAGGCGAAAATTCTTGAAAGGAAAGTAAAAATGGCAAAAGAAACAGAAATAAAAAACAAACTTAATAGAAACATAATGCCGAACTCAAAGAAACATCATCCCCCTGATATTTCATCTGCAAGGGGAGATAACCTTAAGGAAAGTTTCGCGAATGTAAATAACCAGTTGCTAAGGTCACGACACAAAGAGTGGAAGGCCTCAGAAGCCCGTTATCAGACTGAGGACGTCATACAAGGTGTCGAGAAAGCGGCCGAGAACAGGTGCCTCGACCAACAGGTCGTCATCCGTGACCTTGTCAATGACCTTAGACAGAAAGAAGGTCAATTGAACCGTGCTAACACTGACCTTGACAAAGTACGACGTGAGAGAGAGGCTCTGATGTTGGAGGTTGAAGATCTGTTTTCTGAGGCAAATACGGGAAATACTGTCTTGCGGGAGGAGCTCGGAAGACGGGAACACATGTTAGGTGACATGAACAGACAGCTTGATACATTAAGAGCCAGGGCACGACATGACCTTGATCGCAAAGAGGATGAATTGGTCGCAGCTGAGAGTCGAGTGGAAGGTCTTGAGAAGGAAAGAGAGCACTTGGTTCAGGGAACAAACGCACTGTTAGAAAAGGCTGATAAAGACCGTGCTGCTTTACAGCACACCGTTCAGACAAAGGAAAGACAACTCCGACATGTCAATAAGGATCTCGAAAAACTCAAGTAAGTTTGAAAATTGTATGGACATTTTTACATTTCTAAACTTGGATTGATTGGATATTTTATTTATTATCACAGACAATAGGGAGCTTATAACTACTTTACTGCAAGAAACTTCGTACAAGTATTTTGATTATACACATATTATAGGGCCAAATGATTAATCATAGGATTGAATATATCTTGAAACTTTAAACTTGAGTCACGAAAATGTCCATCGCATTCTGCAGCGTAGTGAATTAGCTCCCATGCCAATATGCAGTTGGTCCGTGATCGAATCCTCGTAGTGACGACGATTTTGTAAAAAAATATGGATATGTTTCTATGTAAGTAACTCTTTTATATAGTATACGGAGAAGGAATTTCAAATCCGAAAAATACCAAACAATTTCGAACATTTCTGTGTTGGAAATACAACACAGTGCGCTTGGACACTCCATCTTAAAGAGAGAGCATCGACATAGAAAGAAAAAGATATATATATGATACTTTCTACACATCAGGAGAGGTTAACACATACCTACTTTAACTTACTATTAGGCCATTGACAGTGACTTCTTCCCATTATCAACCTGGGCCATCCTATAATAAATTGACAGAATTATCACTCAGATTACAAGATCCGTTAATTCGTTAAATCAATTTGCTGCAATACTGCAAAACGTTTTTCTTTCTTTTTGATATTAAAAAACGAGTTCGGTTCAAAAGTTGATTTTATGCAATATGCATGCATATAGGAATTCTATACATTAAATTGTATAACGCGTCCTTAATTTGTTTTACTAAAGTTCAAGTTCATAATCAATTAAGTAAGGAATAACATTAAAATTAAATAATTTAATGAATAATCTTACCATTAAAGAATTTCCCTCAGAAAGATCAAAATTTAAGGAGTTAACCTATTATTATTGTCTTTTCATTTTTTTTTTAGAATGGAGCAGGGTGACTTGGTCCAGGAAAGCATTCATCTGTACGAAAAAGCCAACGAAGGGACGGCTAAACTGAAGCACCTCGTACAAGCAAAAGACAACCAACTCCAAGAAGCTTATCATGAACTTGAGGGTATGAATAAGGTCCACGAAAAACTAATTTGGCAGTCCAAGGCACTCACAGAACAAGCAGATAGCAACAACCAAACACTCACAGAAATGCTGCAAAGCAAGGAAGAGGAATTGGAGAGTGCCAAACAAAACCTTTCCAAGCTCAAAGAAAGCAATATGGCCGCTTTTCATGTTGTTTTGGCTGACAAGGAGGCAGAGCTAGCACAGGCAAGAAATGAACTGACCAAGGTCAAGGCTGAAAAGGATACCATTTTAGAGAGTGTCAATGACCTGACACAGAAAGCCAGTAATCAAGGTAACACGATGGCTGGCCTGCAGAATCTGGTACAGGAAAAGGAGCAGAAACTTCAAGAGAAAGAGAGGTATGTTCCACATAGTGAAGGCATCTGGTCACACGTACTGACTAAGTTAGGTGATTTATCTTTAATTCAGTCAATGAAGCACTAAGTAATTGAAATTTTAAGAAATTGAATACAACTAAATTGATGTCAAATTTGGACATCTCTTGCAGAGACATTGATTCCTTGAAGAGGTTTCTGAGTTCAGCTGCCGAGAAGGAGGTTGTCGCTCGGAGTAAACTTGAGAAGTTCATCAGTGGCCTGATAAATCGAGCCGATAAGGCCGAAAGTGAGCTTCACAAACTTAAAACTAGGTCAGTGTCCGAGGTTGACCTTTCGAGGTCCCACACGCTCGGTGATGTGTCTGACGCTATGGAGTCGGACCTTGATGGTCAGTGGTCATCTCAGCAAAGTCGGAAGGTCAGGGCAAGGTCACAGGATTCAAGGTTGAAATCAGCTGACTACAGCAAAGTATGTGCACAAGGCTTTATCAAATATGTTACAGAAAATATGTCGTTTTTCCCTTCTCTAAATCAGAAAAGTGCCGTATTTAAAGCAATTAAATGTCTTGAAATCGTGTTCTTGTTTCCATTTAGTTGAGTGGTAGACGACTTTCTCCCTTTAAGCATTTAAGTATTTTCTTTCAAATAAATTAATGCACTTAGTTTTACAAACAAATAAATAATGTTAAAGCAGAAAAGAATTGTTCCCAAACCGTGAAAAAGATTTTGAATCTTTAAAATAAGCATTTATGAATGTAATTGAGTACTTTGCTTTCAATGCAGTTATCTTCAAGGCCTGATTCGACAGATCGTCATACCCTTGATGTTACTCAGGAAAGGTAAGGCCTATGATGTTTTTAACAAGCAACATCATTACTTTTATCCTAACATCTACTCTGTAATGCAGTGAAAAGTGCCATATTGTTAAGTAATATAGCAATATGTAGCATTTAAGTACATGTTACATCACCCAAGTTTGTATCAATCTAAATATAATAATACCATATCATAGACTTAAAGATAGTAAAGTGGCGTTACACTGAATACAATATACACGATGTCAGGAAGGCGACATTGAAGACTGAACGACGATTGGAAAAAATCGTTCTTTTAAAAATATTTGCAGAAAGGGTATAATTTGCAGGTTTCTCTTTATCCTGTATTTCTACACGTGTTCCGGAATGCTTTAGATATGATTGTTTTTACCTTTTACCTTTAGTTCTACTCTCGAATGAAAGAAATGGCCATATGGTTCAGTGAAAATACTTTCTTTTGAAATCCGCATCAACATACTAAATCATAAAATTATTTTTTGTTTCTCAAGCGATTATCTCAGTAGCAAGCAAAGGTAATTATAGGATTACATTCAGAATGTCCTCTACCTTGGTCAAGATGTCCAACGATTTACTTGTAACAGTTAAAGATGCACAGTAAGCAACATGCATCAAAAGAGACTAAAATTGTGTAGGTTATTGGGTGATGTCAAGCTAGGGGGTGTTCTCGAGTGTCTATTCGTGTAAGAACACTGAAGCGCATTGCCAGTTATAAAGATATTTTATATAAAGTTTGAAAGTTTTCACAAAGGACAAGATAATAAAATATTCCCGCGTTTCGAAGTAATAGCGGGAATTATTTGTCTTGTCGGTACGTATTAGTCAGGGGTGGAATAATGGGTGGACACAGTAAGATCTGGTCAGCCAATCAGAGTGTTGGTACGTACATTGTCATTGGGGTGTGATGGTACGCGGGTAGGTACGACACTCTACTGCACACGACAGGCTAGTGAGGCAAACGTACAGATATGTTTGTTGTTTTCTGACGTAGTATATACATATACATACACATATATACATATACTTCGACCATAAACAAGTGCAGTTCATTTTTTCATTTTTTTCATTTTCAGTTGTGTCAAATAAATATGATGATAATATTATGCATATGTATGCGTTTGTATGAGAAATATGGTAATGGCCGAAATAGCAATAGAATTGGCATAACGAAGCCTGTCATTTGGATTGAACTATAAAACAAAATATACTTGTTAACGGCTATTGACATCAACATGAAATTAATATTCTTCAACTGTATTTCAGGCCAGGCCCAAATGCAGTCAGCATAGATACAAGTAAACCTCGTTCTGGCGAAAACGTGAAACCATGGCAAAAGATTTTGCGAAAGAATTGTTTGAGTGATACAAACAGCACCGACGACTCTGAGCTGGAAAGTTTGAATTCTGAACTAGAAGTCAACCTAAGTGTTGTTTCGGACAGACATCAGAACTTTCACTCCAGACAACATGATAACCTGCATGCAAAGAAAAGACATCTCAAAAAGACTGCGTCTCTTGACAAAGCCTTGTTATCACAGGAACAAAACACAGAAGTAGACCAATCAAATCATCTGTCTCATTTAACAAGGCCAATAAAGCATCGAGATGATAACAATATTCGAAGTTCTGTTACAGTAGATCATTCAGGTTCCCAAGACGGCTCTGTACCAAATAAGTTTGAGACTATGGCAGCTAAGAGAAATCATGGTGTTTTTCATTTTGGCCAGACCAATAATGATAGTGGTGTTAGCCATAACCCGTTGGGAGTTTCATTTCCCCGTCATGGTAACCAGAATTTATCACACAACGTTTTACATTCCAACAAACCAACCAAGACGAATACAAGGATTTTAAATCAATTTCCTCCACAAACACAACTAAATCAAACTATACCCTTTTCTGAGTATGCAACGTCACAGACTATCAATGCCAAACCGCAGCATATAACAAGATCAACTTTAGTTACGAACGTGCCTGACCAGACAACCATCGCCATGGTTCATCCCCCTCCACAACAAATGGTTCCGGGAAGGGTGTCCACACGGAGAAACTTTGCACCGAGAACTAAGAGTGAATCTGATTTAAAACAAACAATTAACGCAGAACGAAGTCATCAGTTAAATCAACAGCTGATGGACTCTTATTTAACCGAACAGCCCCTTGACTCAAACTTTCAGGAATATCACCAACATTACCCCGAGCAATCCTTTCCCCAAACAGTACCTCAGACTCGGAATGTCTCGGTGCCTCAGAACCGACATAGAGATATACCAAGTTACAACACAGATGTATCATCCTCACAAAGGTTCCAAATTCGACCATTCCAACTTGCAAAAGGTCAGGAATATCAAGAGGCGGATGTTTCATACTCACAAAGATACCCCATTGGACCATTCACACAGGTCAAAGGTCAAGGACATCTAGAGACAGATGTTTCATCCTCACAAAGGAACCCCATTGGACCATTCACGCAGGTCAAAGATCAAAACTGTCTGGAGACAGATATTTCATCCTCACAAAGGTTTCCTTTAGCCCCAATATCTAGAGAGAAAATTGTACTTCCAAGAAGTATATTGTCCCCTGAAAGACGGGAATTAATAAATAATAATGTACCATTAGAAAATTTGTCGAACAGACCTTCAGAAGATATAAGGCATTCAAGTGACATTCAAGTAAAACAGGGTCACTTGGTAAGGCCAAACAGCATGCATGGAACCCAAAGTAATGTTACAGGACCAAATGAATTCCAACCAGGACAAGGTCATTCAGTAGGACGTGATCGAGTTCAGCTAGGTCAGAGTCATTATGTTAGAACAGACGGAGCTCAGCAAACGCAAGGTCATTTGGCAATATCAAATACTGTTCAACAAAGCCAAAGTAAATTGGTTAACAATGAATGTCCAATAATGGGACAGCCCAATGGTTATAAAGGTCGTCAACAGGACGCTCGTGTTATGTACATTCCGGTTGACTCGAAGACCGGTCGGCCAGTGTATTTAACAGGTCAACCTAACGCTCCTCTATATGGGACACCAGGAATTCCTCAGACACCAGGAGTACCAACTAATTATGAAGATGGAGCAATAGGAATTCCTTCACAAGGAGATCAAGCGAAGAGAGGCGGAATGACGGTCAACCCTCAACTTGCACATTCTTCATATGCAACAAGAGACATAGCTCCATCCACAAGACATCAGGACCAATCACAGGTGGAGATGCTACATAGCATTATCTACAGATAGCTTGCTTTTATTCCACCCATTTAACCATCTAGCTTTAGTTTTTCTTGGGTAAGCTCATGATTCCTTTTTTGTTGGTTTTTGTTTTATTCTACTAAATAAAAACGCTTTCCGGGTACAATAACGAAATACACATAATTTAGATGTATTAATCACAGAAAAGAACAGCAATCCCCTAGAAATAGAATGATTACAGTTCTAAGTAAATTACCATATAGATTTCTAAGTAAACAATATTTCAGTAATGCAATTTTTGGAAACAAACTTGTTAATTGAAAAGTAACCTCGATAAATACATAGCTATTCAATATAGATATACATTGTCGGGTAGTTATAAATCTTATGTTACGTTTTAGATCCATATTGTAATTGTAATATTAACTAGGGTAATATAAAATTGCATGTATGTTGTCGTTGTAAGTATAGCTTTACTACAATTAAACTATACAATTACGGACCATCCAAAGTTTTATTTTCATTTGCTTAAGTCTGATAAGTATATTGCTCAGACCATGGCTGTATATAAGAGATGAATCAAAACGTAAGTCCACAACGGTTCTATTAAGGCAATTTGAATATGATCAAACTCCTTACTGAAATTTGACTCAGTTTCAATCAAAGAATGACATGGTAAATTATAGTGTGTAACAGCTATTTCTATTCTTAGAAAAGTGTCTGTTAAATATTAAAATACGTATAACATGACGTCTCACCTCCAATCAGAGTTCTTTATTCGCAGTAGGCAAATTCTATCCCTAGAACGAGTTCAGCTAGAAACTAACAGTCTGAGTAACTTGAACTACCCTGTCTAAATAATAGCAACAACTGTCTTTAGCACTTGTCTAGTGCTTTGAATGTTGTCTGTAACATATATACGGAGTCGCTACATTTACCTATTTGGACATATGTATCTGTAGGTAGTTTACACACTGATTTACGGTTAAAAGTGTCAGGGGTGTTTTAAAGTGTATTTATCTGAATCTATGTTTCGTTTTAAAAACAAACATACCTTGCAACGAATCAAAAATATCCAGAAATTAATATAGCAAACGTATATGAATGTTATTGAGCAAGACGGCTAAATAATGGAAAGAAATAGCAATGTGTTATAAAATGTACCTAAATATCTTTGTGTTGTTTCAAAAGTATTTTTTTTATTATTCGTTATTGTATTAAAAGGAAATCCTATATGTTTGTTTTAATACTGGAGACATCCCAAACATGCTGTAATGTTGCCTGGCAGTTGATTTATGTATACTTTATACAGAAGATTACACACACAGATATAACTGAAATAAATAAATGAAAAGTGGTTTCACGGAAATCTAGGAATATTTGTTTGAATAAAATATTTTTGAATGTAGCTTCAATAATAATAAATCCAATTGGAATATCAATCAGTGTATTAAGTAAGTTGCCTTATATTAACAGATTTGTCTCCTTTGGCATGTGCGTAATATTTTTTTCATATCTAACATCATTTTTCATTTCTAACATTTCATTTTCCACTTAAACATATGTTTAATAATGCATATATTTATCGTGCTTACATTTTGAAACAAATGACTGGTTCCTTCGCGTATTTTTAATTATGTCAAAAAGCGAAAATCATCCAAAACTATAAACGTATATAATCCATATCACCGAGCTACGGACGTAAAACCACTCAAACAAAACAATATTATAATTAATGGAGAAAATCGATACAGTTGCATGTTTGTTTAACAACAAGTACTGTACATTACAAGGCGAAACTATTATTTAGAAATATTATATCAGCCGATATCTATTTCATATTTTGAATAGCTTCAAATATGTCAACTTCCGGTTAAATCTTTTATTTTCCTTTATTCGTTATCATTGTATTCACAACCAGTTGTCAATTTTGAAAAGTTCGGCTGCATGCTCTTTTTCACTTGTTGTATTTCTATTTATTTATCGTTTTGATTTTTCTTTCATTTTTATATATGTTGGAAAACACATTGATACTCTCACCATTTTTTCTTAGTATGGTTTCTACATTTATCCTGAAAGTAAAAGAATTGGTTGATAATTTTTAATGTTGTTTTAATCATATTAGTAAAATTGTCATTTCTTGCTCTGATCCAAGAATACAAATCGTATTTTGAAAACTGGGTACGATTACAAAATTATACTTTACTGTATTTTACCTTTGATATGACTTTTATCTAAGAGAAAGGTAAAACACCCTGATATGTATTTATAGATCACGACCTTCATCTACTAAATGTGTTTAAGAAGATGTTTGTTTTGATTCCCAGCCTCGGTTTATCATCGGTAACATTATTATGTTTTGTTGTTTTGATGTATTGGTGTCTCTACAGAACTTTGTTACCAGTCAACCTTCGCCTGTAAATAGAGTAGATGCCGGTAGTGATTATCCCGTTCTGACAACAGAACACAAGTTTATTCCTACTCATCAGACAGCACGAAAAGGTAAATATCCGTTCATATTTTAAAGATTCCATTCCATGTGAGTTTGATAACCTTCACTAATGGTTGAGGGGGTTTTATTCTTAAAAACCCGGTAACAGCATGGGGATTTTTTTTTTATTTGAGCTGAGTTTACCTTAATGCTTTTATCTTGAATATTCCTATTATATTCATAGCCATGACAGTTTTAACATAAAAATCTTAAACTGGAGGAATCGTGTTTTATTGTTTTATGCTATTCTGATCGGATACACCAATTCTTAAGTAGGTATAAAACATATCAATTTTATATAACAAACACTTTCTGAGTTTAATACAGCATATATGCATCATTTGTATTTTGGTGATTCAATGCTAATAAGCATAATGCTATTTTTTGTGAGGGATGTGTTTTTATCAGTGACGGTGTGAGGAGAAACAATTTTGCAAACATTGCTATAGGATTGTTAATCATTATTACGATTTTCACTATGTCGCTATATAAAATAGTCGTTAGTCATATACAGACGAAAACATTAAATGTTCCAGTGCCCTGTGTATTCCATTTAGAGTACTTCTCAGTTGGATTGATTTTGAATCAAATTGTTAATTCCTGTTTCTGCAGAACCAAGTGATAAACTAGGAGTATCAAAGTCCTCTTCCTCCTCCGTCGTCGATGGCAACGGTGACCATGAAAACTCGCTTTCAGATGTTATGTCCCTCGTTGACTATGGTAAGTTTTAATGAATAATTCACAACAGTGACAAGAAATGCAATCTAATTATACATTTGATGCGTAATGGTTATAGTTTGGAATGGCTGACTACATGGAACATAACCTTCAGTCCAGGCGGTCGTGTTCGCCGTTAGATGATTGGATAGTGACACAATTCGGGCACTACAAGAATGTACTAAAATGTGACCCTTAAATGTTTGTAACTATCCACCCAGTGCATTAACGTAAGAGTTACCGTTCAATTTTGATAATATGTTCATAAAAATCGAGTTGTTCGTAATCCATGGCTAGCCAATTTAGTTGTGATAAAGGAGATTCGCTTACAGATGTTCGGCCTTTAAACTGAAAGTAGAATTTTAAAGCAAATTTGTATCAAGTTATTTTATTAATGTTATAGATGAAAAAGCATACCCCGTCTTTATTAAAAGTTAAAGGATTAATTGCATGTAGTGTCCATTAAATCAAAAGCAAAAGGGAAACCGTGATTTATCCTCTTTTTTCCATTTACCACACGCACTGGCAATATTATTTCAAGACTTTTTTTTTCTTAAAAGTTGTCTATGCAACTAAAGCAAATATGAAAAACAAAACCTACATGTATCCCCTTTATTTAATATAATGTATCACAGATATGAACAGTATAAGGTCAAACTCGCAGCAAGAGCTCAATGGTTAAATGTTCATGCACCATACACAAACAAATTGTCTGAAGGTCAGGAGTTCAAAGGTCAAATAAATCATCAATTGACTCGAATTTATGGAGTTGTTTATGAAGAGACTTTTGCTGCGCACTGTGGTAGTTGAAATGATATGCACAGTAATAATGTAACCGCTGATGATATTTTAGTGCTGAGAATCACGTACACGACTACGTTATGTAATGTGTATCACTCGTTTACTTACAGAGGATGACATGGATGAACCTGATGATGTTGAGAGTGCTACCTTTGAACAATTCATGGATGAGAATGGTATTTTATGGGAGTCGTCAGATACTTTTAAGGATCATTTAACCCCTGATTCTCTGAATCAAAGAAAGTCAGGCACTACCCGAAAGATAGATCGAGATAGTCAGGTAGCAAGGGAGTCGGAAGTGGCTCGGCCTCATTTTCAGAGGGTGAGTTTGTCAGGAAGGCTTAATTCGAGCCAAAGAGATCAAGCAAGAAGGTCAAAGAGTGCAGAACCTATCCCATATGATAGACAAGAATGTGGTGTTAGAAACAGGTCAATGTCGCCAAGGGTAAGATTTAGTGACCAACAACAATACTGGCCTTTTTCTGAAGATAATACAAGCCATAGGTCATCCAGTCAAAGGTCAAAGTTTCAAAGGACTGGTAAAAATCATACTCAAAGATCATTGTGTTCACAATCTGAAGAGGAAGTTCTTGAAAGATCATTTTGTTCAGTTATAGAAGATAGACCAAATTTCGAAGAACTTTGGTTAAAGGATGTATCTGTTGGCACGGATACTCCAAGTATAGAGAATTATGTCCCTTTACCCACACGATCGACTAAACTGGCGTTAAGGCAGAAAATGGATGAACAACCAATTTTACCAGAGAAACAAACCACGGGTGGTAGTAGCCCTTGCTTTGTTAAGAAAAAGGATCAAAGCTGTCAGCCTCTCAAAGAATCTTCCACTCAGACATGGCTGCTGGACTGTCCACTCAGTTTAGATGACCTTGGTTCAGTCAGTCAGAGGTCAAGTTTTGTCAGACCTAATAGAGCTTCCAAATCCGATTCAATCAGTTGTGATTCTATGGCCCGTGTTATTCCTCCAGTTAAGAGACTAGAGGGGAAAGAAGCAGACAATGATACTATTGCTGGAAACTCGCATACAACATCTGCGTCAACAAACCGTGCTGCGCAAATGTCACCCTGTCATGCTATTGGTCAAAGGTCTGAAGTGCAAAGTGAAAATATCTCCTCCCACGACACAAGATTCGAAGGCGAGGACTTGATAATTGACCGAAATGTAGACTCAACATTTAATAATGAAGGGAAAGGCTTCCCTTCAAAGACAAAATATGAAGAAAAGAACAAAACCTATCAGTCCCAAGATTCAAGATGCGGAGGAAACAGAGATGACAGGCCATCGAATTTGCTATATATCGACGCTGGTGGAAGGGACCAATCCCTAGACTCTCGAGATATAAATGGCCATTCACCTAACTCAAAATGTAGGAGAGACGACAGAATTGACCAGTCCCCAGACTCAGGATATAGATATGACCAGTCCCAAGAATTAAGACATAGAAATGACCAGTCCCCAGAATTAAGACATAGAAATGACCGGTCCCCAGACACAAGACATAGATATGACCAGTCCCCAAACTCAAGATATCGAAATGACCGGTCCCCAGAATTAAGACATAGAAGTGACCGGCCCCCAGACACAAGATATATATATGACCAGTCCCCAGAATCAAGATATAGAAATGACCAATCCCCGGACACAAGATATAGATATGACCAGTCCTCAGAATCAAAATATAGAAATGACCAGTCCCCACACTCAAAATATAGTAGGGAAGACAGAACTGACCAGTCCCTAGACTCTATCAATAGACATGGCCAGTCCCCAAAATCAAAATGTATAAGAGGGGGACGAAATGACCAGTCAAAACATTCGAGATATACAGAAGACAGAACTGACCAGTTTCCAAATTCAAAATATAGAAATGACCAGTCCCCGAACTCAAAATATAGGAAAGACGAAGATAGTCAGTTTCGGGACTCTAGGTATAATAATGACCACCACCCTGTCAAACATGATAGGTATAGAAAAGATGGCAAAAGATATGACCATTCTCAAACCTTAGAATACAAAACAACTGGCAGGAAAGACTATTCAGATGAGTGCGATGATTCACAAGATGACTGGACAGATCATGATAATAAGAATAGTATTCAACGTGTTCACAAACGAGGAGGATATTATTCAAATACTAATGATGAGGATGATGACATTGATTTGACAGGGAGAGCTAGAAAAAAAGATAGATCATATAATAGAAAATCCCCTTCGAGAAATTCCAGATCTTCAAGTTCAGAATCTGACAGCCACGACAGTGGACATAGGAGGAGGTCAGAAAAGTTTCGACATAAGAAGAGGTCAGATAAATCTAGCAGTTTAGAGAGACAATCCTCCATAAAAGAAGCATCCCAATGCCCACATCAGGACGATTTATCCGCTTCAATAGGAAATTCAGAGAGTTTGAACCCGGAATTGAAACCAATAGCACCGACGGATTATGACCAGCAAAATACTTCTAAAGTGTCTCCAATAGCATCGCCTGACGACGGAGTAAAGATAAATTCGGAGGATTCTAAAGACCTCGATGTATCAATTCAAAATCAGAACAAGGTTATTTCAGAAATGTCCGAACTTAATGCTAATGACAGTTCCGAAAGGGAAACTAAATCTCCTGCGTGTAACACCGCTCAGATTTTAGAAAATTCACCTGACGGGGTGCAGCATGAATCTAAAATCGATGCTACTGACATTCTATTGGTTGCGGGGATTGGCGGCCAGCAGCATCAACCTACCGAAGATACAGAGGCAGAACAAATGGCTCATAGAAAGGATGATCACGTTGTCATGGATACAGACGATCAGTATTCCCTTTACAGCATTGGCAGTTCATCACTATCCCGGACTTCGTCACAAGGTATGTACGCTGTCGAATGGCCTGAAACAATGTTTTTGACTGCATGTAAGCAGTAATAATCCATGTTTGGAGATTAAATCCACTCTTAAACAGAAATTTCCGACGATAGGCATATTTCTTGTTATTAAACTCATCCCTTGTTGCACAGATTCTACCAGTGGTAGTCTAATGTTCGGTATAAGGCTACCCGGAGTTTACCATTGATAGAATAAGCCCGCTCATTGTTGCACATATTTACCATATAATGTTCAGCAATAAGACAAACAGCAATGTCAATGCAGCAATGTTATAGGCAACATTCCTTCTTTACTTTTGAACAGCAACACATTAGCGATTTGACAATTTCTGTCCTACTGATTTCCTTTAAAAGGGGCAATATAATTGCGGGTTGTAGCATTTTCAATGGAAATAAAACCTACGTAGTATGTTTGTGTCATCATTAATATTTCACACTAGAAGTATTGCATATCGCACTCTTATCCGTACCTCTGTTATCTGAGCTGGTAAAAAACAAACACTGCGTCGTTTGTCCGGATAGTAACGGATTAACTGCAGCTCATTAAATGTTGCGACTACATGAATATTTGATATTAGTATGTTGACGAGACAGTGTGTCCTTTACCAGACAAAGATCCGTTGATAGGGATTGAGAGTCAAGTCACTACAATGTTTGTCCGGATGTTCAGTGCTGATCTTCATAAATATAAGTTTTACAGAAAATATTGTATGTTGCGAATAAAAGAGAACATTCAAAGTCAATGTCACAACTTAGGGTAATAGGTGAATCATTGTAATGATCTTCCAGGCTGCAACCTATCATTATGTATTATATAAATTATAATGTATATAAATATTTTATGTTATAATTTTGTAGGTTTGTGTGTTCCGATTTGAGAATGTATATATATTTGAGAAGATTATCACAATGTACAGAGATGGAAGACGTAAATTTCATCTCTATTTAGGGAGAGGAATTATGATATCGGTAACGATATGATATTCAAATGAGGAGGATATACATATGTATGCAACAAGGGCATTTTAGCAATACAATCAAAATATCCGGGAGCTTCTGAATTTCTCAATTGTTTTCCAGAATCCCTGTTAGAGAGTCTTCCGAAATCCAGACGGGAGGCAGTCCGGCAGCGAAGGACGTCCCTTTATCTGGTATTCCGTTACCTTGACACCAAGTCACTGGGGCGTGTCGCGGGTGTGTGTCGCGAATGGAAGAAGGTCAGTCGGCAGTCTGCTCTGTGGAAACGAGTCCACCTCACGCACACAAGATTTACTTCAAAAGTAAGTATTATAACTACTGTAGTTACAAAATGTAAACAGCTTTATCTGTTTAATGTGTGTGGTTGTATCATTTTAGCCTATAACATTTGCAGAAACATCGATATCCGAAAAAAACTATTACTCTTCGGATATTTGGAACACAAATAACTATGTTAAGTAATATTCTTGATAAACAAAGTAAAGGAAAATGTACTTATTATATAAAAATCGTTGGGGAAGGCCAGGTTTTCAGTTATTGGACTAATGAAGTTTCACTCTATATACTTTTGAAAGAATTTTATTTTAAAACCTTTTGCAGTTTATTTACAAAGGATATCATTTAAAAGCAAGCATCACACAATAACAATTCATTCAAAACATTTAAATATGTGCAGACAATTAATTACTGTTCTTTTACAGGACTATGTGGTCATTTTATATACATTTGTTCTGTTTAGATGTACTTAATCTTTGATAACCGTTGATAACTTTGCGTAACTGAAATAGGAATTCTTCCATTTCCCCAGTTTTTAAGATAAATTTTAAGTTGGAAAGAAGATCCCGATCTTAAAAGACAAAATACAAGATGGTACCTTTACAGAAAAAAGTGTAACTTTTCATTTGTAAGCATTGCATTATTTCATATAAAAATTTGTTTTTATCTTATTCGGTGTTCCTCGTTTTCAATTCAATATTCATATTTAAATGATTGATTAAATATTGTTTTATCTCGGGGCACCCACAGTCCTTTGATCCTGAATATATTTTTACATATGTGTTATTTCCAGTAATATACTATTATACAATAACTATGTTAATGATATGATACCAAGGTCAAGGATCAGATGTTAGAATCCTACAGTCATTTATTACTCATCTTAGGAACATTTGATGATAAAGTTGGTACGTTACTATTTCCACAGGCTCTTCAGACCTTGGCCCGTTGGTGTACACAGCTAGAAAGTCTTCATCTGGAAGGTAACAATTTTCACGTCCATACACTTATGTACATAATTATTTATTGTATTTATCAGAAACGTCAATGAATAATATTCGACATACAACATAGCCCAGTACATGGCTAAAGCACGGTCGAAAAATCATAACCTCTTATTACCTTATTTTGGGATTTCTTCATCTTTACATTTAAGAGAAATCTATATTTTGCGATAACCCGGAATTGTCTACCACAACCAGGGGCTACTGAACCTCTGCTACTTACCTAAAACGGTAACAGAAGTGCTCATGTTTGTATATGTCCATCACACAACATTTTGTTTGCAATACTGCAGTCGTTTGACTGCATATTGTTTTCGTTCTTCTCTCCAATTTTTTTTTGATCTCTCAAATCACACCCTGTCCACAGCACTCCGTCCGTATCTAAGCTAACTGCCATTAAACAATCGTTACGTGAATGCATTTGAATTACGATGGCTTTGAGAAACACTCCTCTTCCACTGAGCACGTGCAAGTATGAATCACAAAAAATAATTAAATTTCCTGTAGTGTCATACTGAAGATCATGCATGTTTCCGTGCGGTTTAATGTTGAGTTCTTTTCTTTCATTTTCTGGAATTTCTCTAGATTGCTCGAAGATTTTCTCTACATCTTGGTCCATTATTATAACAGATACATTTGAACTGATAGCTGCAACATTCCGGGTAACACAACACTCTGCGATTTTTGTTGGAAAAGGCACCAGTGGTTCCCCAGACTGCCTTGGCTGAGTGGTAATCACAGCCCTTCCGTCTTTGGTGTATTTTGTGATTTTGCTTCTGTCACCTACTATGACCTGGTCATCCAGGGTAACACATAAACACGTCACATCGGTTCCTCCAACTGTTGGAGCCTTTTTTAGCAGTGACGCTGAGCTCTTCATGCTGACGTCCAACTCATAAACAGAGTGATCTGAGCAGACCCAGAGATTCTTTGTTGTTGGGGAAACACTGGCATCCGTGACAGGCAGTTCCCATGGAACTGTTTGTTGAACATAACCGTTGGTATCAAGAAGTTATATAAGTGTCTCACTTCTTCCTTCATATGACCTATAATAACACTGATAAGCCCATGCCTCACCCGCAGTTGAAGTACATATTGCTATGAATTGTTTCCGACTCTCTTCTAAATCAAAAGTTGACAGTTCTATGGTGTTCGGCAGTAAGGTGTACTGCAAGGGTCGATAGGCTGATGACGTCATAGTACCAAAATATCTGTCCATGTAGCTATGGGGATTGGTGTTGGGATGAAAACTTGCAGTAGCCAAAATAGGCATCAGTGGTAAATTTGCCTTATATCGAACGTCATTCAGGGAGTCATGTACTTGGAGGCTAGATCCATATTCAAGAACCTCAATATATTCGTGTTGTAAGTTATCATCAAAACATTCTAGCCGGCTTTGAAGTTCCCTTCTGAAACTGGTCAGAGCCTTGATGTTTCCTTCCTCCATTTGCTGGCAGAATTCCAAAACCTTTTCTGTTTTGATATCAATTGCCTGTTTCAGTTTTACGCTCTGAGTTTTAACTTTACGACAAAGGCTGTCAAAACTGTTTAAGTTTTTCTTCATTTCCTTCTCAGTAGAATCTATACCCTTTTGGATTTGCGCTCTGTTGTTTTTGTTAAGATAGCTTTGAAGTTCCGTTTTCATTGATGGAATAACTTCATTGAGGTCACACACGACACGATGTTGTAAGTGTAACGTTGTACAGTCCATTCGTATCCACCTGTAATACAATGTACACACCTACAGTTGTACCTGTCTGAATGAAATGGGCCTTACACACCTGTTGTATTTACCTTGACGTGTGTGTACACGTACCTGCTTGAACTCTTTTTTATTATTTACTGATAAGTTCTGTTTCTGCCAGATTTGTTAAATGGATAATGCAAATAAACAAATACACTTTTTCAATATGTAGTATTGTTTCGATAAATAAAAAAGTTCTAGATTATTATATCAAAATTAGTAACATTTAAATGAACTTGTTATTACCATACATACATATCATACGTTGAATTAACTTGAATTAATAGAAGAGGGCATCAAGCTTTGAAACTATAGAACAGACCCTGACTTTAGTCTAAAGATCAGTGATAAATCATTACATATTTACCCAGTCCATGATGAGTCAGGGTTAAAGCGACTCCCATGTCAAAGTTAACTCTGTGGAATCGGGTGCAATAGCAAGATATTTTTTATTTCTTTAAATCAAGGGACATAAACAATAAAAAGCGCTTCCAGAATGAAGTTTTTTTTCCAGTTATGACACTAGATTTTGTGCAACAAATGTAACCGATCTGATCGAACAAATTAGTATTTACTGACGGTAACACAGCGTAATTAATAACTACAATGAGAGACTGACATGACTTATGGAGGGTCGTTTATCTGATGTGTTACGAAGATTATAGTCCTGAAAATACTTTATACACACAAGTAATAATATAATTCTGAGCTGTTTTATAGATATTACCTCAAATTAACTCTATGTGTAGCTGATTTAAGGTGTTTCTTACGGCAACACGCATTAGATATGTGTATTATAAACTCAATCTAGACTATGACCATAAGTAAAACTGTTCGACGAAAAAAATGTTTTGAAAGACATATGATCACAGGGTGTAGTGCAAATGCAGTCTTGAACATTACAAATGATAAATAATAAAATAAAAAACTACTAACATGTATAAACTTTAAAACATGTTATCGAAAAATCTGTAAGTTATATCAAATGTCCAGAATGCCTTACACTGGCATATGCCCGAAGCAGAAATACTTTTAAATACTATGTAGCTGCCATATGCCAGGCTTTTTTATGAATTAACTTCCCAAAAAAACTAAGTGTACTTAACAAAATCAACCACATCTGTATCAATACCAAATATACATGTTTTGTTGCAGATATTTATACGAGGAAACAGTTGGAACTTGAGAGTGATGAAGACTTCGCTCAAGCTGTTAGGTAAAGAATCTGAGCACAATTTATCTTGCACTATACTCTGTAGCAGATTGTAGTGATTGCGTGACTGACGCGTTCTGTAGTTATTTTCTCCAAAAGCTATGAAGTTTAGATTTTTCTATAAATACCACCTCAAAATTCATAGTCAGAGTGTAAGTATGAGAATATATAACGTAGTTTAGTAGTTTTCTTACGAATTTTATATTGAGTTTAATAACTTTTGGCTGCCGCGTTATTTTTGAGGTTAAGTCCATTAACAAAAAGTGATTTAGTATTGGTTACGTATTTGTAGAGTGTAAATTTCGTAACTGATGTCGAGGTCGGGGTGATTTTTAAGAGTAGGTAGATATGTATATTACGAATACAGAGAAATGGATTACCCCTCGTTCAGATTATAACCAGCTCGAATTAGCATTTTCTATCAAACGCAATTACATTGTCACATATCATGAATTGTTTTTTCATGTTAAGGATGATACTTGTGATCAGTTTGTAGAACAGGGTTTGTAAGGAGGTGTTGTGTTAAAGTATTGTCACAGCGATAGATTATGTATCTAGGATTATTGTGATATGGTCAAAATGTCGGCCATTGTATATATAGGGGGTTGTGTGAAAGTCAATATCGATTATGTATCTAGAATTATTGTGATATGGTCAAAATGTCGGCCATTGTATGTATATGAGGTTGTGTGAAAACCAAAATAGATGTTGGTCATTATATTCAAAGGGGCTTCCGTGAGAGTCACAACAGATTATGTATTGTAGTGTTGTATTGCCACATGAACAGTATAGATGTGAGGGATGTCGTGTTATAGCCACATGGACAGTGTATTTATATACTTAGTGATAACTATGTATACCAGACAGTGCGATAAAAGGTTTTGTAGTGACTGTTATATTTTAAATTGCTTGCTTTCCTGAGATAACAGATATCTTTAAAAAAACTATGACATAGTGAAATTTCATAAATAAGAAGTAAGGATGTTCATGCAACAGTAAATGTCTTTGTTACGTTAGAACATCATTTTGATTTAAAATGTAAAACAAAATAATAATTGAATATTTTACCTTAAAGAGCATCACTTGAAGGCGGATTGGAATGTTTACTACAAGTATCAGAGTCAAGTCTCAAATCCATTATCATCATCAACTGTCCGCACATACTCACAGACAAGTAGGTAGTCCAGTCTCTGAAGACTGAATGAAGGACCATTTCCTGATTCAGATGATTTAAGTTTGGTAATAAGCTTGATAATTGTTAACTTGTTTTGCCTTAAAGCTCATTCAAGAATTTAAAGTTTTTAGAAGAATGGTCATTTCATAAGTCTTAACTCTAGTTTTTTTGTATTGCTTATGTTGTAGTGATTGATGTTCTTCGGATTCAAATATCTTCATACATATTTTGAACATTGTCATACTTCATATTTATACATTGAATATGCTTAAAGGTCATATACCAGTAAAACTATTCGAGTTGGGCGGATTGGTTTGGTTTGGTGGCTTCTCGGTATTACTTTTAAGGTTATAAACATCTAATTTTTTGCAGATGTATGTGGTTAGCCAGTTGCTATAGCAGAATGTTACAAAACGTTTGTTACCATAGCAACACTCATATTTTGGGTGCTGATGTGTTGTGGGCTTTAGGAGCTGGGTGTGGACTCATACGATCTTTAGACATTGCTCCCCTGTACCCATGGTAAGTATTTGAGACTATGTACTGCCATTTAACCAATGATGGTCATTATGTAGCTCTGCTTAGCCACTGCTACCAGAAAACGGAAATAAGGAGATTTCCTACATGATGTTGTGATAAACAAAAACTTGGTAAATATAAGTTCTCAAGACAACTTTATGGATAGCACCAAGTTTTTTGTTTTGAGTATTTATACTGAGGTCGTTATTAATTTAGTCAAATAATGAAGCAAAAAAAACTATGATATATATATCTTGACCGGGTCATATTCATGAAACATAGAATAATTACTAATGTATATTATTATAACCCTACATCACAGACAATTGGCTTCAACATGTTTGCGACTTTGTCACAATGCAAGTTTGACACTAATATCTATATATATATACATACATTGTATATACTTCGATGTTGGCTTAGCAGGATGTAAGAACTACAAAGGAAGTATTTTAATTTAGCTTCGTAATCAAATGATTTGTATGTGTAACCCATCTAATCGCCAAGTGGGTCATAGGCAAAGCTCAGTTCATGATTCAAAACGGTTAACATATTGCTAAATGTCAAAAAACTTCCTTATGTATTATAGGTTCTAATTAAGGGTCTATTGCTGTTAGCCTTTACTCACTACTGTAAATGGAAATTAGCAAAAGTCAAGAACCTGTAATATCTGAGAGTTAACGATAAAATGTAAGGCAGGAGTAAAAATCCCAACTTATCAATATATTTCTAATAACCATCTCGGTATTCATATTTATATTGTAACAATTTTATTTCTTTATATAGATATAAAAAGAACGATCTGATTTTCAGATCATTTTTTTATATCTATATATCTATATAGGCCGGTTGAACTACTTCAATTACATTTGTTCCATGTTTCAGTGTGAGCACAGAAAAGTTTACTAATAAATGCCTACAGATAATTTCCCAGTTTTTACCGGAGTTGGATCGCCTGTGTATTGGAGGCCAGCAGTTAGATGTTAACGGATTCGTACTGATAGGTAGGTAGTCTGAATGTTGCAACTGAATTTTCTCATAAATTTCTAGAATGATCCTGCGTTTTTGTTGTTGATAAGTATACGGTTACACTAAAATTGATCCCCAGCGCCTCAGCTTTACGTATGGTCAGAATGAATTAATCAAGTCAGACGCCGAGTCTCCTATATATAGGTTTGTATTTACTCCATATAAGTCTATAGAGACATTCTGAGACAAGTAATATGTTAAGCGTTTATTGAAACGACGATCTGTCAAAAGGCTTCATTAATGAAAATCATAATTAAGTATCGGACATTGTTAGACCTTGGAATTCCGGAATGTTGATATTGAGGAAGCCAATGGCAACAATCTGGACAAGGGGTCACCAAAGCATATGGTACATGTAGCCTGATTCCAAACACACAGTTGTCATCATCGCGAAATAATTAGCTTTAAAATCAGCTCTGTGGCTATCACATTCTCTGTTGTCTTCCAAAACCTGTCGAATCATAACTCCATTGTTACTTTGATGGGAAGTTGCGGCAACAATTTTTTTTTGTGAACATCATATTTGACATAGCATTAACCAGTTATATATACGAACAGCAGGGTTCGTAAAATAAGACGTGCTTTTATCGGCAAAGTTTAAAATCTCCATTGCCTGTCTAGCCGGTCTCAGTCCATGGATTGAGGACGTTTTAGTCCGTGTTGCGATAAAGCTTCATATGAATGGTATAGGATCAATATTTGAATGGTTTAAGTGATGCATTGATAGCGTTCCTGTCGCACTGGAGTGAATGTCGCATGCTACCTGTCTTGGAAAATGTAAAGATGATATCCTTGGTCGGCTGTAATAGACCATTATATAACCTATCTAAGAAAATTTGTGGTTTGCGTTTTTATCTGACACGGAATAAAATTTCACAAAAGATCATTTGACCAGTCTTAGCCAATAAATGAACGGTGTTCATATCAGAAGTGCAATAAAGGTCTCGAAGGTGATCATTTAGCAATATATGTCTTAGCAATTCTATGAATGGCATACCTATATATTATACACTCTCGGGTCATTTTCACAGCAGCTGCTACTTTTGTAACTCTTGTGTTAAATTTATTCACCAAATTTAATACGACGGCAAACATTGAAAATAAACACAGTATGAGTGAGTGTATTTCCACAAAAATGCCAAATTATATACCTTATTGTATACTGCAACTTCAAAGCTTTATAGAGCATACAATCATGGACTTATGACTTCACACAACAACTTCATCTATTTTGTAATGCAATGGCAGTATTCTCCCTGTGTTACAGCGAAATCTTGCCAGCGTTTGTACTGTCTATCCCTGCATGGCTGTGTTGATATTGAGCAGGATGTCGCCGTGGCGATGTGTCGAAAGGGACTCAAGAACCTGCGCTCGCTGGACTTCAATCACACTCCTGTCACAGACAAGGCTTTGCTGCACTTTTACAGTAAGCATTATAAGTGTCTTTCTCTTTAGTTAATGTAGTATGCTTCAACTATGCCCATCACGTGCACTGTTGTATTAAATTACCATGCCATTACTTACATGTATACATGTAACCCTCCGCCTGTCTTTAGTGCCACAAAATATCTAACTTGCTTATCGAAGATATATCGTAACTTTAGAATACCATTGTATAGACTTGTATTTGCCAAAAACATTGTGCGCATATCTGAGTCAGACCTATATATTTATTCTGATCAGGTTCCTGTAAACACTTGAAGTCCATACACGTCTCCTTCTGTATGGAGGATGTCAGTAAAGACCAAGAGTTAATGGACACCACGGAAAACTTCAACAAGCGAATAAAGACCTTGGAGGTACTGCACAAACAAGTACTTAACTGTCACGTGATCTGTTTCTTATGTTGTCTTTCCTTCTATTTTGGAGTTTCCTTCGTTCTTGTTTTCTTTTCGTGATTTTGAATTCAGCATACACTTAGTTTGTATTTTTTTCTATTTCAGCAATAATTCTGGATATATCTTTATACATTATTTACTTTATTTTTATATTCAATGCGGTTGATGCAAAACATTTATTGTTACTTTTTTCAGAAGTTGAAAAAGAAGGGAGGACTGTGGAATATTCTTAAGCTGGATGTTCAAACAGTGAATGACTAAGAACCGTTGGAGTTCGGATGCCTTTAAGTGCAATTATGGTGTTTTTCTTTTCAACAGATTTCTCTAAAACACTACAGTTCTTGCCATGGTAATTTTATTATATTCGTGATACTAGATTTATATCTAGCTTGAAAGTTGTTTGGAACTGACAACTTTGGGATTACTTCAGGTTCTATATACATTCACCGTACCTGGAAAGATCCCGAGTAACTTCTCTTTTTACCATCATAAAAAAAGGTTTTCAATTGTGTTTTTTTATGCATCAAAATCTTTCAACTGAATATTTTAATATATATTTATAAATGTCTGACTGTAACGATTACATTATATATTTCTTCAAAATGATGGCTTATTTTTTAGCTCGGCTTACTTTCATGAATATTGACTCATTAAGGTAGCAGAGCAGAGCTGAGAGTTGAAATATAATAACGTAGAATATCTTTTAAGAACAAATTCAAATGATTGATTTTAATTCACTATCAATTTATATACATGTATTTTATATCTAAAAATCAACACTACAAAATAAAACCAGTAATTTGATTTCTCTGACTAACATATATATGCAAGACATGAAGTCATATTCATGTGTGACGTCACAAAGTTTAACGTTACGCCAAATTAATGGCATGCCATACTGACCGTGAAATAGCATCAATCAACGAGACATGATCAGCGAAAATATTTAATATATATATATAAATAACGCAGCAAGATGGACTGCAACATATAGAAACAACAAAGTAAATATATACACGATTTAAAACAAAGTTCTTATCAATATATTCATGCATACCATGAAAATCCAAAAACTATTATAAACATTCATATAATTTCTTATATTTATCATGATAAAAGTCATTCCGTCTTCCAATGTTAGGATTCATAACTTATGGTAATAGCTTTATCCAATCTGTCAACAACTTTACACATGCTTTGTATCAAATAAAAAAAAAAAAACATATGTTAAATAAGATTCGTACTTATCATTGATAATATTTCTCTCTTCATTTCAATATATATATATATAAATAACGCAGCAAGATTGACTGCAACATATAGAAACAACAAAGTAAATATATACACGATTTAAAACAAAGTTCTTATCAATATATTCATGCATACCATGAAAATCCAAAAACTATTATAAACATTCATATAATTTCTTATATTTATCATGATAAAATCATTCCGTCTTCCAATGTTAGGATTCATAACTTATGGTAATAGCTTTATCCAATCTGTCAACAACTTTACACATGCTTTGTATCAAATAAAAAAATACATATGTTAAATAAGATTCTTACTTATCGTTGATAATATTTCTCTCTTCATTTCAACTCGCCTTTTGGCTTTGTTGTTGAGCGTTCAAATAAGCGAGGAAGGTTATGGGTTCTGTCCCCTGACAGAGACAGCTTAGATGGATGTTGGTAATGGCTGGTTCGCCCGTTGTCAGTATAATGTGAGCGGGTGGAGTGTCAGATTGCCGTAACATTCCATTGAAAAGACACTTGAGGTTAATGGCCCATGTTGAAAGTCGACCCGATGTACGAATAACACGGCGTCCATTGTAACATCACCATATCACAAGTAATTACTGCAGTATTAATTTTATGGAAGACATGAATTTTGAAATCGTTAATCAAAATTGAAGAGGTGGCAAAGACAAGCACTGGTATTTGTAGCTCTGTGAATTGCAGTTTGATTCTGTTTGACGTCATGACAACAGTCGTCAAGGCCATGGGGTTATTTTAATATATGCCAATGATGTTAACAAATGATGTCCATGAAGTAAATTTTGAAAAGATTTGTCCTCTTTCATGGTAGATATAAAAACTTAATAAACATCTAATGTTTAAAGTTGTATATCTCCATGTAAAGAGCACAAATGTTTGCGATTGAAAGATACAAACGAACATCTGTCAAGTGCGATATGCACTGAAACAATATTTTTAATGAACGCCTCAAAGAATTTCACAACAATTAGATCTGTTTAGTAAATCAAAAAGATTAAGTATCAATAAAACTGATATTTGAACACCAGATTGATAAAAAATAGGCCAAATATGAAGATTTTCATGGAGACATTGAAAAAGAACATGAACAAGACCAAGTATTCCAGAAGGGTAAAGACACTCGCCAAGTAAATCGTGTTCACATTCAAGTAATGCCACGTCCTCAACGCGAGAACGAGGGTGGTGAAAACACTACAGAACTAAAAACAGTGTTTGGTTTGTTTGTGTTTTACGTCCTATCAACAGCTATGGTCATTTAAGGACGTGCCAGGTTTTGGTGGTGGGGGAAGCCGGAGTTCCTGGAGAAAAAACCGACGATCTACGGACAGTAGCTGGCGACTAAAACCATTGACCCTCACATCACACAAGGAACCCTGAAGGGGGTGTAGTTCATTGTTAGTGTACCTGTAGTCCAAGCCTTGTGTGACACAGCTCTTTTTCTTAAAGTAATAAAACAATTTGAATTTGAATTTGAATTTTCTTGTGCACTTAGTGCACAATGTGAAAATGATAGTCTACACTTAACTGTATTTTTCAGAAACTTATTTGTAGATTGGTCTCTTTTGATATAAATATATTAAATCAAAAGTTTCAGTTCATTGTAAGCTGCGTTTTGTACTGGGATGTAGCAATCGTTGGACAATCATAAGCAAACCAGTGTTATCTTGAGGTTTTGTTAATGAGTCTGTAAAACTACAAAGACTACCCAGTTTTACAGAAATTATATTGACTCTAGGCATGCTACTGAATTACGCTTATAAATAAACACTATTTCTATCCCTGACAAAGAACTAATCCATGTCACATTTGACTATGTTACAAATCTTGGCTAAAGCAGATTTATTTTTGGAGTTAATTATT